CTCATCTCGGATAGGTAAATGTGCTACCATATTCACTTCTTCAAAGAAATTCACTTCGCTTGGATCACCACCAACTGCCCGCGACAAGGTATCTGCGAGATACATGAGCTTTCCTTGTTGATAGCTGATATCAAAATGATATTTTTGAAGACGGAGGAGCATCCCCTGAAGGCGTTTCGGAGCCTTCACCAGCGGCTTCTTTATGATCATTTCAAGCGGCTTGTGGTCGCTCACAACGCTAGTAAATCGACCAAACGTGTATTGATGAAAACGCTCCATTGAAAACACTACAGCTAGCATTTCCTTCTCAATTGAGGCGTACCGCGATTCTGTGTCGGTCAAGGATCTACTGGCATACGCTATGGGGCGTCCATTCTGCAGAAGTGCTGCTCCCAAACCCTTGTTGCTTGCGTCGCATTGGATGGTTAGCTCTTCCTTAGGGTTGTAGTAGGCCAAGAGTGGTGCTTCTGAAACCATTCTTTTGATGTTTGACATTGCGTTGGCTTGCTCTGTAGACCATTCCCATGCTATGTCTGGGCGTGTCAGCTGTCTGATGGGTTCTAGCGTATCGGACAGACTGGGCAAGAATCTGCTTAGGTAGTTCACAAATCCCACTAACCTCTGCACGCCTTGTACGTCAGAGGGATTTGGCATTTTGAGGACATCAGCAACCTTCTTTGGATCAGGCTGTAGTCCTGCACTTGTGACGACATGTCCTAGGAAAGGAATCTCAGTTGCTCTGAACACGGACTTCTCCTTGTTGAGCTTGATGTGTTGTTCAACACATCGCTGGAACAATTGCTCAAGCTTCGAGTCGTGGTCGATGATTGCTTCTTCCATCGTTGTCCCTTTCCCATACACAAGGATATCGTCTGCTACGCAAATCACCCCTGGCAGTCCTTCAAGTGCTTGATGCAATCTTTGCTGGAAGATTTCTGATGAGGCACTTGTACCGAATGGTAAACGGCGCCATCGGTAGCGGCCAAAGGGCGTGTTGAATGTCGTCAGGTGGCTTGAGGGCTCATCAAGTTTCACTTGCCAGAATGCAGAACTCATATCAAGCTTGCTGAAGATCTTTGCTTGGTTGAGATCTGGCAAGATATCCTCAACTATAGGTAGAGGGTAGTGCTCGCGTTTGAGTGCCTTGTTCAGTGGCCGTGGATCAATGCATATCCTAAGGTCACCATTCTTTTTCTCAGCCACCACTAGTTGGCTGACCCAACTCGTCGGTTTTGTCACCTTCGCGATCACTTCACGGTCAACCATGCGATCCAACTCTGCTTTCACTTTTTGTTTGATTGCATGGGGTAGTCTTCTTGGAGGTAAGATGGTGGGCTGCACCTCTTTATCCACTTGCAGGTTGACCTCTCCAGGCATCTCTCCCAGCTCTCCATCAAAGACTTCTGCATAGCGTTCTTCAGGCTTGCATGCCTTGTCTTTCTGGCTGGAAGCTGCGTGAACTCTTATGAAGTTCTCATTATTGACCGTGATGAGCTTCAAATGCTGGCTGACTGTGCTTCCCAACAACGGTGTGAAGTCCTTGTCCACCACTATGAATTCCACCGAATATTTCTGCTTCGTCTTGGGGTTTAGCATCTTGACCCTGCTGACGCCTTCGATGGCCATTGTGATTTCGTTCCACATCATGAGCTTTTTCTTGCTAGGTTTCAGGACGTAGTCAGCCCCTTCCAGGTGTCTCAATGGCAGGATGTTGGCACTAGCCCCGCTATCCACCTGGAAGTCTACTGCTTTCTCATTGATCATCATTCTGGCATACACCTCATCTCTCGGTTTAACGGTGTTGATGGTGATTGTGACATTGTCTATATACTCGGTGCTCGAGTCACTGTCGGCTGGATCATTTACTTGGTGCATTCGTTTGCTCAGCATGCACACATTGGCGAAGTGGTTTTGCTTTCCACATGCCTTGCAGGTTTGTCCGTAGGCTGGACATTTGTTTTTGTCCCTCGGGTGCTCCCTGCCACAGTACTTGCATTGAGATTTTGCTGCTTTGCCAGTGCTGCGCTTGCTGTTATCTCTTTTTGGTCCACCGCTCTGCTTTCCTTTCTTAAAGCTTGGCCGGATCTTATGGATATGAGCCGCTGATCTGCTGCTACCGGCCTCACTGAAAGCTTTGAGGTGCGATTCAGCTGTCTCTGCGCTCTTACAGATGTCGATGCAGCCACCGAGTGTCAGTTTCCTTTCTTGTAGTAGTTGCTTCCTCGTCTGCGCATCATTGGTGCCCAGCACTATCTTGTCCCGGAGGAGGCTGTCTGTCATGCATTTACAGAAATTACATGATTTGGCGAGAGATCTGAGATTGGCAAGAAATGACTCAAAACTCTCACCTGGTTCTTGTTGCCGTTTATTGAAGAGGTATCTCTCGTAGGTTTCATTCTTCTCACCGACAGCGTACCGTTCAAATGCCTCTATTATCTCATCCAGGTTGCTAGTTTCCCCATTGGCATTAGCGAAAACAAAACTGTTGTATATTTCTAGTCCCAACGGGCCGATTGTATGCAAAAACAATGCCGTCTGGTACACTGATGCTTGGCGATCCAGATGTGCTACCACGCTGTAGTTCGTCCACATCTGACGCCATGTTTTCCACCCCTCAATCACTCCGCGATTTATAGTCAATTGGGGTGGTGGTCGTATCCCGCTCACGGGAGGCGGTGCTGACACTCTCTGCTGAGTGCGACCCGTCGCTAGCTGCGTAGGCGACTGGTCAGCCGTCCCGTTCTGCTCGACATTGCCATCGGGCTGCTGCTGAGCGGCTGTCTCATGTTCGCCTGTTGTAGGCATATTTTCTGACGGCTGGATTCACTTATTCAAGACCTCAAAATTTGTTCACACATATATTCACCTCAGCTTGAAACTTGCGCTATTAATTTAGCACTGTCCTTTTTCTCGTAGGATTTAAGCTATCCTGTGAAAATGTCAAATTCTAAGGCTCCGCCGCTGCCACCATGTCTTGAGACGTAGTTCAGATATATAAGACACGCGCATGCGTGGACTTTATTAAGTCATTCAATCCCGTAGGATACATACATGTATATCATAACAGTAAACATAACAATCTTGTCACATGCTTTTGTTTTTATTTTAAACTCTGACATTTTTACCTCTGACATTTTTTCCTCTGACATTTTTACCTCTGACATTTTAAACTCTGACATTTTTACCTCTGACATTTTTACCTCTGACATTTTTAACTCTGACATTTTTTCATCTGACATTTTTACCTCTGACATTTTTACCTCTGACATTTTACCTCTGACATTTTTACCTCTGACATTTTTTCCTCTGACATTTTTACCTCTGACATTTTTTCCTCTGACATTTTTACCTCTGACATTTTAAACTCTGACATTTTTACCTCTGACATTTTTACCTCTGACATTTTTACCTCTGACATTTTTTCCTCTGACATTTTTTCCTCTGACATTTTTACCTCTGACATTTTTACCTCTGACATTTTTACCTCTGACATTTTTACCTCTGACATTTTTACCTCTGACATTTTTTCCACTGACATTTTTACACCGAGCCGATTAATGTATAATATTGTAATGATCTATTGTTTTTATATGAAGATGGAAATAAATGAACAAATGAAAAGATAATAACATCAAGGGAAAATGACACGTATTAAAAAAGAAAAGGAGCACGTGTCAAAGTAAAAAAGGAAAAAATGGTAGGGGGTACTTGTCGTACATGAAAGTGGGCACTTACGAGAGATGAAAAGACTGGAAAAAAGGGACATTTATTACAAAGAGCAAGGGGCACTTGTCAATCGAAAATTATTCAGATTTTAATAGTAGCATTTGTCAGAGGTAAAAAGAGGTATTTATGAGAAGGGAAAGGAATTAAAAAGGAAAAGGGGTACTTACCAGAAGGAAAAAAGGGGCAATTATTGGAAAGGAAAAGGAGATATGTGTCAAAATAAAAGGGGCGCTTATCAGAGGTGAAAAGAGGCACGTAATTAGAAGGGGCACTTATTTCAAAGGAAAAGGGACACTTCTCAAATTTGAAGAGGGGCAAAATTCAAAGGTGAAGGAGGCACTATTATCAAAGGTGGTAAGTGGTACTTCTCGTACATGAAACTGGGCCCTCACAAGAAATGAAATTGACACCTATTAGGTTTTAATAGGGGCATTTATCAGAGGTGAAAGAGTAATATTCCCTTGCTTCAAGACGCTAAAGATGACGTGATCGCCGAATTTCTACGCCGGGCGAAAGAATCTAGGCTGTGCGTTCGAGTTCGTTGATAATGCCACCATCGGTGACTTGAAGCAAGTGTAGGGAATATTATAGACTATGGACTTGGGGAGGGGGAGGGGGGGGGGGGGGGGGTGGGAAAGAAAGTATTTCAAATATAATTATATGTTCCGGTTTAAGTGAGACAGAGGAGGCAGCATGACAGAAAAAAGGAAGACATGTGAGAATTTGTAGAAATGATACAAATAGGAAAGTAGGAGAGAGAGAGAGAGAGAGAGGGAGAGAGAGAAGAGAAAAGGAGAAGAAAAGGACCTCCAAAATATGTGAGCGACCGGGAAGGAGAGCAAGAGCAAGAGAGAGGGGGAGAGAGAGAGAGAGAGAGGGGGGGGGGAACGGGTATTGAAATTGTCAGTGAATAGTGTATTTTTCATAAGTTGTTCTACATCGTCATATATTGTGTAATAAAGGAACAGCTTTGTTGAACAGACGAGATGAAGCAGTTCGATGATACTCTTAATATGACACGGCCACCACCACCATTAATATCATCATCTCCATAATCAACTTTATCATCACCCTCCCCATAACTAACTTCATCATCATCATCATCGCTATCATCACCATCCCCGTAGTCAACTTCATACATCATCACCCTCCCCGTAGTTAACTTCATAATCATCTTCATCATCGCCATCATCACCCTACCCACACCCTACCCATAATCAACTTCATCATCATCTTCATCACCATCACCATCATCAACCTCCCCGAAGTCAACTTCATAAATCATCACCCTCCCCGTAGTCAACTTCATAATCATCACCATCATCATCGCCATCATCACCCTCCCCGTAATCAACTTCATAATCATCGCCATCATCACCCTCCCCGTAATCAACTTCATAATCATCACCATCATCACCCTCCCCATACTCAACTTCATCATCATCATCATCACCCTCCCCATACTCAACTTCATCATCATCATCATCATCATCGCCATCATCACCCTCCTTATAATTAACTTCATCCTCATCACCATCACCACCCTCCTTATAATTAACTTCATCATCATCATCACCATCATCACCCTCCCCATAATCAACTTCATCATCATCATCACCATCACCACCCTCCTTATAATTAACTTCATCATCATCATCACCATCACCATCACCACCCTCCTTATAATTAACTTCATCATCATCATCACCATCATCACCCTCCCCATAATCAACTTCATCATCATCACCATCACCACCCTCCTTATAATTAACTTCATCATCATCATCATCATCACCATCACCACCCTCCTTATAATTAACTTCATCCTCATCATCACCATCACCACCCTCCTTATAATTAACTTCATCATCATCATCACCATTATCACCATCCCCGTAGTCAACTTCATAATCATCACCTGACACAACAATTTAAGCATTCAGTAACTGTCTTTTCAATCAAATTACAATGAAACATTGATTTATAGAGACCTCATGTGAAGCGTTTGTCATGTATGATAAATTCAATATTTTATTTCATATTTCAATAATAAACACTTTTAAAAGTACACTGCTAAGAACGATACCACCTCTCTGTTGGGGGGTAACAGCAATACAAACAAAGGGGGTAACCATGTTGAACAACAAAAAACATGATTTTAGAATTACAAAGAAGCATGTGTACTTTAATAACATTAATTGAGTCACAAGGTTGACCAACATTGTTTAAATATCCATGGACTAAGAAAGAGATTGATAAAACCATAGATCTGCAATCAAATTTTCCAAGATTTCATCTTCAGTGATATTTAGAATAATCGACCAACTATCAACCCATTTGCCAAAATAATCCAGTCCAATTATACAAAGACTTTGGTATAGCACCTTATAGAGCAGGTACAAAGAAAAATGTATCGTTTGCTCTGCAAAGTTTAATTATTTTGTCGCTAAAACAATACCATTGGACTTCAAGAAGACCAGTTGTGACATTAAAACAGTATGATATACACTATTTCTATCATACAGTGCATATACAGTGCACATCCAATTATGAATGATCTCTATACCATTTGACGGGGTGAGACTGGCCATAGAAGTTTGGGAAGTTTGGGGAGTTCCCCCCCCCCCCCCCCTGAAGCCGCTCAATAATTCATATTGAGATTGGTCGATTTGTGGTCTAAAGGTCAACTGATATTAATATCATGAAGAAGATTTGGCCATCAAAGTTACCCGCACAAATTCTAGTCCCAGTCTGCCCCTGTCCTTTGGAAGTATGAAACATTGAATTGATTTGTAACTATTCAACATCCGTAATTAAACTTATCAATTCTCTACATCCGTGGCCCGTTGCATAAAACTTACAATCTGATTTGATTGGCTGGTGAGTGATATTACCATGAGTTAATATTGATGGCAAAGTTACCTTCAGTGGTAAGTTTCATGTAACAAGGCCCTGATTTTAAAGAAAGTGTGTAACATACAATGGTGGGATGTTGATATGCACACACATACAAACTCCACAACAATAATGAAAATACCCCCCCCCCCCCTTTCCCTTGACTCAAAGTCGGACTGTCAATAAAATACCAAATATTTTTTGATAAAACAAGAAACTAAAAATTATTTTGAGTGGTCAGCAGAAAAGTGCAAACACACCTCTGGTCAATTTTCAATAATTTTTCTCTTAGCCTTTTGATATGAGGGGGAACAAGAAAGAAAGAAAGAAGTATACATAGCAGATAATTTAAGACCGATCAAAGTGAATGTTAAGGACTGAAATGTGTTAGGTTACTATGGTCAACAACAGGGACCTGTTTCACAAAGCCTTTTTTCAAGGACAAATAACAAAAATCAGTGACAAATCTGCTAATAACCAATCAGAAGCAAGGATTTCGCTAGCTTATAAAAAAACTAGATGGAACTTCGACTGCGCGCAGTCGAAAATGATGCCTCCGTCATAGAGCAATTTTACAAACCAAAACAGAAGAAATTTTTCGAATTCAAGTTCAATTGTAATCCATTAACAGGTTCTCAGAATATTGTGATTACAAGCTATTTTTGCATACATAATGAGCCCATGACCTTTGACCTTATGAACCAAGAATCTACTCAGTTCATTGGCTCTGCAAGAAACATACATGACCTAAGTTGGCAGGAATCCATCAATCGGTTCTTGAGATAACGCGATCACGAGCTGTTTTTGCATACATAATGTGCCCTGTGGCCTTTGACCTTTGACCTTGTGACCCCTACATCTAATCAGTTCATCGGCTCTGCAAGTAACATACATGACCTAAGTTTGGCAGCAATCCATCAATCGGTTCTTCAGATAACGCGATCACAAGCTCGTTTTGCATACATAATGAGCCCTGTGGCCTTTGATCTTTGACCTCGTGACCTCAAAATCTAATCAGTTTTTCGGCTTTGCAAGTAACATACATGACCTAAGTTTGGCAGCAATCCATCAATCGGTTCTTCAGATAACGCGATCACGAGCTCGTTTTGCATACATAATGAGCCCTGTGACCTTTGACCTTTGACCTCGTGACCCCAAAATCTAATCAGTTCATCGGCTCTACAAGATACATACATGACCAAAGTTTGGCAGGAATCCATCAACCAGTTCTTCAGATAACGCGATCACGAGCTCGTTTTGCATACATAATGAGCCCTGTGACCTTCGACCTTTGACCTCGTGACCCCAAAATCTAATCAGTTCATCAGCTCTACAAGATACATACATGACCAAAGTTTGGCAGGAATCCATCAACCAGTTCTTCAGATAACGCGATCACGAGCTTGTTTTGCATACATAATGAGCCCTGTGACCTTTGACCTTTGACCTCGTAACCCCAAAATCTAATCAGTTCATCGGCTCTACAAGATACGTACATGACCAAAGTTTGGCAGGAATCCATCAACCAGTTCTTCAGATAACGCGATCACGAGAACGGGACGTACGTACGTACAGACGTACGGACGTACGGACGGACGGACAACCCGAAAACATAATGCCTCCGGCTACTTCGTAACGGAGGCATAAAAACTGTCATATGTCACTGATGAGAAGTTTTGTGAAATGGGACCCAGGTCTAAAGCTGTAAGAATGCCTATTCCACAAATGAACATTGGTTGACTATATGCAAGGTATAAATTAGAAATGATGCATTATAGCTGAATCAATATTGTGTATGACAACCTTATTGTCTGTGATTTGTTATATCTCGAAATCAAAGACCTCATGGTTCAATTCCTGTAGTCTAGACCTTACTTTGTCTACATTTGTCTATATCTGGATTTAAATTTTTTACTCACAGTCAATCTAATAAACTGATTTCAGTTGCTTGTGTCTCAATGTTATTTGTAGCTGGTACATGTTTCATAAAATGGGACCCTCGAGTGTGTAGGCTTCTGTAACCTAACAGATTGTGTAGAAGCAAGTATTTTGGGTCTCACTTACCAAAATAATTGTTGACTATTCTTGAATCAGACAATTTTTGAATCAGATAATTCTTGATTCAGACACAGGAAAAGGTATACAAATTATCTAATTAGACAGGGGGAAAAGAAACAAACTTCCTAGAAACTTGAACTTTTGTTGTGATGTTCATTTGTTAACAATGACAACACACTTGAATCATATCCACGAGATAACAAGCAACAAATCAAAGTGATCATTAGTGATATCAATATTAAATATTTCAAAAACAATTTGCTACAAATTATTTCATTTTGCTTTCTATTTACATTTATACAGGTTTTTGGCAACAAACAAAAAATCACCAAAAGAAAAAAAAATGAAGTATACATGCAATCATAGTCCATTCACAAAATATGAGTTAAAATAAAAATTATTGCAAAGAAAACATACTTGTCTTCACATAGGTTCCCAAGTTTGTTAAAACCACAAGAAATAAAAAGTAAGTCAAGAAAAAACAAATTGAACAAACATTTGTTCATAAAGTACAGGTAACTGGGTATACAATTTTTAATGATGGTGGTTGGGGAAATATTTGTTTTAATAACTTGAACAAATCTGGAAGTCCTGAATATATTGACACCATGAAGCCCTTTCCAAGTTGTTGTACAATCTTGAACTCGATTGGGGTTCAAAAATATACTTCTAACAATATCATATAGGGATGATAGCTTAAAATAAAGGACTTTCCTTTGTAAAGATTTTCAATGCTACAAAGTTCAAAGGAACATTCTCAGTACTTAGATATTCCTTCTATAATGATATAGTTACATGTACAGTTTCATAAATTCTACCAGCAAGTCCCTATGCATGAAGTTATTAAAGTATACAACCATTCCTTGCCATGTGTTTCTCTTTACTCTGCATATCCTACTATGTGAGCATCACTTTGAATAATATGTGAGCTTGATCTTCAAATTTCCAAGGAAAAGGGGATATGTTCCATTTTTTTCTCACGGAAAAGAATATCATGCAAAAGCAAACATAAATTCATGTTCCAATATTTCAGTAGAAAATCACAATGTAATCAAAATAAATAATCAAAAGCTTGATAAAAAATTATCAAAGTATTAACTCTCGATTCCGTGTAACACATGCAGAAAGGACACTTACATTGTCAAGACAGGAGAAAGAATAGCAGTGTTACAGAACCTTATATAAGTGACAAACAATTTGATCAGGATGGTTTGAATAATTTAGAAAAGATGGTTTAAATAATTTAGATAAGAATTCCAAGACACATTACAATTTATCGACCTGTGTGACAGTTTTTGTATCGTCAGTCCACATAACTTCCTTAGATTTGTGCTGACAGACTGAAGCAGACTAAAGTTTTTAAAACTGGCAGCTAGCTTCAGTCCGCCAGTATATGTCTCAACTTAGACACCCAAACTGTCACACAGGTGAATAATGTTGGATGTGTCACAGAACTCTTTTCTAAAGCATATCTGTATGTTTGTGACCTAACATTTTATCTATGAGTCGGCTTTACTTACCTATCTACTTCATAATTGCCATTCTAAAGCCAATTAGAATTGCGCCCCGTAGCTGAAAAAGTTCTTTGAAAGTTCAAAAAACTTTCTTAATCTCAGGTATTGGGGCAATTCTAATTGGAGATTGGCAACTATGAAACAGATAGGTAAGTAAAGCGAGTTGTAGTAGATACAAGTGGTATACTGGCCACCAACTTTTCCCATTTTGATTCCTACAATCCATATGTTTACAGCATCATATAAGAAAACACCTAGAGTAGAGACACAACATTTGAAATGTCTGTCCTTGCAACTCCAGTCATTCCGTTCCACCCGATCTTCGAAATCATCTGAATCATCGAAAACTTGAGATTCTTCCTGGAAGATTTTAACCCTTTGCTTACTGGAACCTGTTGGTCCATGTGTTAAGCCTATGGGAATTAGATAATCTAGTATTCAATTGGTTAATGAGTGATTTGTGAATTCTTTAAACATTTTAGCCCAGCAACCCAAACTAACTAACCAAATCTAGCTACAGGTATCTATGTCCCATAGCTTGGTTGGAGGCCGTTAAGGCTACAATGAAATGGACTTTGAGACACAGGTTCTCCATATCTTCCTGTCTTCAGCTGTTCTAGCGAGCTGCTCAAATGACATGCCTGACCAAAGCTAACACAAGGTGGAATATCACAGATAAAGCAATTTCTTTGTGTTTAACTCTGCTACGAATCTCAAAGCTTGGATTTCCCAAACACTTATAATTCGACTTGTGTCTCAAAAAGATATAAATGTTGCCAAAAGGTTTACTTTGAAAAGTGCAATTATAATACATGTACATGTAACTCTTTGCAAACGTGTAAGCTCTGTAGAACTATTGACTGTATACCACAAAGAAAATTATTTCTATTTATGATCCCTGTGTGCCTGTGGTGATTCTACTATAATTCTCAAATAAAATAAAAATATAATATCTTTATAACATCATGAAGACATTGGTGACAATGAAAAAATGACAGAGAAAATAAGTCAGGGAATATCTTTGGCGATGAGATGACTTTGCATGATCTCCAATACAGCAGGATGCACTAGCAGGCAATCCATGGCCTGGAACCCGATACATCAAGCGACCGTATGTTATTGTGCTCATGATGGTTCTTCTAAACCACGTAGCCCTCCTTGTACGATCTCTGAGGAACATAAGAACTGATACCCAACTGCTAGTACTTGTAGGAAATACTGCCCTCTGCTGGTGACCCTGCTATACCCGCGGCGACCCTTGTGTTGACGATGATGAGCTGCTCTTTCTACTGGGTACACCTGGGCGAGAGAAAGAAAAAGCAAAGAGAGAAAATATAATTATTGGTTGTTGATTAAAAGACTTCACCAACAAACCTAACAATTTGAAAGCCAGTGGTTTAGAGAAGGATCCAGGGGATAAATGACCCCTGTTGTAAAAACACAAATTGTTTGTACACTTATGTTTAATTTTAAATTGCGTCAAATGAAAAGAGACCACTACCAGCACCACCACCACCACAATCCATATCATTATTGCCACCATAATCACCATCAGCAGCAGCATCATCATCATCAACAATATCATAATCATCACCATTAACACCATCATAATCACCTTCTTCTTCTTCACCATCCCCCCCACCCCCACATCCCCACCCCACCCCCACATCCCCACCCCCACATCCCTACCCCACCCCCACCCCCATCCCCATCCCCATCCCCATCCCCATCCCCATCCCCATCCCCATCCCCATCCCCATCCCCATCCCCATCCCCATCCCCATCCCCATCCCCATCCCCATCCCCATCCCCATCCCCATCCCCATCCCCATCCCCATCCCCATCCCCATCCCCATCCCCATCCCCATCCCCATCCCCATCCCCATCCCCATCCCCATCCCCATCCCCATCCCCATCGTATCCATGGGAATCTTACCTGCTGGTTTGAGCACTAAACTATTAAGGATGTCTGAAAGTGAGATGACGCCTATCACATGCTTCTCATCGTCAGTCACAACTAACCTATGGACCTGTCAGAAGAAAAGTTGAATAAAAAAACAGATTCAAATATCATCCAAGAGGAAAAATAGTACAAACAGGTCCTGAATTCAGTTCACAAAGATGTTGTGGGATTGCGAATGGTTCATCAACCTCTAAATTGCTTATTTGGACCAGAAAAAATCTGAATACAAAATGAGAACTTGCAGGAAATAACAACATTGAAAAACGCAGCTCAATTTTGCACATGTAACATCACATGATATTACTATCTCTCTTTGCTTTGTTAATCAGCTACCAAAAATCAAGTTTGGTTTAATTCTGTGAGACATTTTAGAGAATTTCCAGATCCCAAGATGACCTCTACGGTCGAAGGGAACAAAATGGGAAAAGTTGTGTGGATGACTCTCCTTCTATTTTTCCATCTATTGATGAGAATCATCATATATAGCTTCGCAAAGCCTGACAGAAAGCTCTTTTCCATTTGTGTTTGTACAGGGGGGTGTTTCACAAAGACTAAGATTGATTGATTTTCCCCCTTCAATAATGAAATATAAAAGAATGTAAATTCTGTAGATTTGTGACCATGATTTGTACGCCCCTTGAGAGAACAATTACAGTAAATGGTGAGAGCAAACAGTGGAATGAGTGGCCTGCCATAGTTAAGTCCAACTTAAAGTCGATCTTACTTTGTGAAACACCCCCAGTTCTAATATAACATAGTACAACTACATGTCCGAAGGATGTTTCTGCGTAACTGTAGTCATCTCAACTTAAAAATATTCCTCATACTCTGTCCTATATTAATTAAAGGTTTCACTCATTTGTTTCTCTGGATTTTGTGCTCCTACTCATATCATTGTTGTCTTTAAGATGTTCATGCGTGGGTATATCGTCATTCGTGAAGTAGGCAACTTGACAATCACTACATAATACCGAGCCAATAGGTATTACGCTCCTGGCATACGTCCATGTGCTGTCCTCTATATACCCGCGCTTGAGCAACTTTAATTCCTCTGGAGAGAGAGAGAGAGAGAAAGAGAGAGAGAGAGAGGAGAAGAAGTTTCTATAAACTCACCCCAGCTTTGATGATCCTTTCCATGATGGTTTCTAATGTCTCTGAAGCCTTGCATGTACTCACACCCTCAAAGTATGTCTGACGGAACTGGAGCGCTTGTTGAATGGTGATGTCTAGGTTGTTATACGTCTTCTCAGCAGCAAGATTCTGGAGGGGTTAGAATGATGAATGATACTCAGCTTGAGTGAAAAAATACATGACCCTAAAATAAATGTAACTCACCACTCCTCCTTCCCTAGACTAGCCTAACCTTTGACTCGTCCCCCCCCCCCCCCCCTCGCATAATATCCTTCAAAATGTACAAGTAAATATTGCAGGAAAAATCTGTATTTCCGTTGGTATCATGCAAGCACAGTTGACACTCTATGTATATAAGATTAAGAGTTAGAAATAGATCAGTGCTTCGCCCCTCTCGTTCACTATGCTCCCTCGTCCCTCCCATTTCATTCCCCCCCCCCCCCCCCCCCCGCCCCTCCCTCCTGGTCATGAAAAGAAATCGCGCCCCTGGTCAATACCACAGCATCATATCATCGTACTTCTTAAAAACACTGACTGATTTAAGTGACTTACGATGACATCAAACTTGGCATAGATGTCCACAATCTTGTTGTTCTCGTCTACGATGGGTAAGGCTGAAACTCTCTTGTTTATGAACATATTGAGAGCTGTTATCAGAGGGGTGTCCGGTCGAGCCTGAAACAAAGAAGATCACATTAAAAACAATGATGAAAATAATAATAATCTGGATTTATATAGCGCTTAATACCAAATACCGTTCCTAAGCAGATGTTATTACCCTGGTCATCAGATCGATTCACGCACAATGAGCACCATCTTCACTCCCTGGGGATTATTTCTACCATATGGTCACCGTGAGGGCATATGGCAGAAAAAAAAAGGCTTTTGGCATCATACAAGGTCCCCATTTCTCTCCTGGGTAGGGAGTGGCAAATGTGGATTAATACCTTGTCAAAGCACTATGGTATTACCATTTATTTTGTAAACGGCTTTGCTTTAACTTTAAATTTCTGCATGAATTTACAAGAAAATAAACTCCTTGTGCATTTACTTGACTTACTTTGATGGAAATATGTTATTATATGTACAGGGGAGTGTTCCAATTATGGAAAGCTGTTGGTATCCATGAAAATATTATGTAAAAGTTATTTTAAAAGGCATAAAATGTTGATTCAAATCATTCATATTTTTTATATGATCAAGGAGATTTCATGTTCTTTACATGGAATTTATAAAAAGTCTAAAATATTTGAATTTTCGCTTTTGAATATATTTTGAATTTTATTTTAAGGCTACAAATGGCTCTCCATAATTTTAAGTCCAACAGTTAAGTTTGACTTAGGATCTTTGTGAAACACCCGCCAGTACATGTATGTATTACAAAGGAGACATTGATGAAACATGCAAACTATCTTGACTCACTGTGGCAATGTTGGTGTACGTCCCGATGTTGAGTTCTTTAAGGGTCTTCTTCAGGAAGGAGGGACTCTTTATTTCAGTCTTTTGCTGCAAAGATAAGACACAGAAAAACAAAGTAGTAAAATGGTATCGACTATATCACGCATCAACAGAAATACACGGTATAAGAGTGTGCATAAAGTGATATGTATTTCAAAATGCAGACAAAGTACACATAAGGCTTGTTCAGATATATGAAACTGGTATATGAATCGTGCCCCAAACAAGCCGCCAGCTTTTTTTTTAAACGTGTAAATAGCGGCAACTGTGTGCAACAAAGGTATGTATTCAGAGAGCTTTATTTTATAAGATATAGAAATATGAAGCCTATTACAATTTATGTCATCAAAAAATTGAACGAGGCTTAAAGATGCTGTACAATTTTGTTCACTGCATGCAGATCTTGGTTCACATCAGACAAGTATTCCATTATAACCCCTGACAATGTGCAACATAGTTACTCATGTTCTGCAAATAAGATTTTCCAGTCAAGTATCAAATCATGGTCCATTATACTTATATGCTCCATTACATTTTCCCATCGCTTCCACAGTTTCTTTCACAATGCAATCACATGACCAGAACTCAACTTTATTTCAAGGCGGGACTGCACTACTTGTAGCTACTTGCGCCCTCTATATAGTAAACAATGCCTAAGCGGTCACTGTTGGTCCCCCATGGTCCCCTATTTCTTATGTTAATTGAGAGCTGATTTGATGAGATAACCACTTGTCAGTGACCATGCAGGGAGGTCTAATCCCTCCTGGCTAAAGTAGTGCAGATAGGCTTCAAAGGATTGATAGATTCAAAGCACAGCTTACCAGTAGAGCAAGGAACTTCAGTATACGTTTGTGAGTTAGGATGTAGATGACGTTGCCTGTAGCGTTGTCTATGACTGGTAACCTATGAATCTTCTGTTGGATGAGCATCTTGACGGCTTCAAACAAACTAACGGAAACAAAAAAGGAGGAAAATTTTATTGAATGATACGATAGAGATATTGTGAACTGTTTGCTCTCACCATTATGATCTTTAGACAATATTTTTCTTTCAATAATGAATTTAAATTCTGTAGATTTGTGACCACGATTTGTACGTCCCTGGAGAGACCAATGCCAGTAAATGGTGAGAGCAAACAGTGGCATGAACGGCCTGCCATACTTAAGTCTAACTTAAAGTCGATCTTAATCTTTGTGAAACACTCCCCTGGTATGTAACTTGGTGCTTGTATAAGTCCAAAGTTACATTCCTACTCTCATTGGCTTAGATTTGACACAAAAACATGTGAGATTGACACATTGCGGTTAATGATAAACTACATGAGAGATTGTTTATAGCCCTTTTCAAGTAGAGAGTCAGACTCAAGTAGGTAATCAGTCTCAGATTTCAATGATATTTCTGCAAGTTCCCATAAAAATCCTCTCCAAGATGAATTCATAGAATCAGATGTAAACAAACCTTTGATCTGGATTGATCCACACAAGCGGTCTGGCTTTCTCTTTTAACACCTCTGTAAAAATGAAAAGACAAAGAATTAAAAGCATTAAAGACCTATCCAAGGAAAATACAACTTTATATCAATGGAAAGCTGAATGAACATAGAATACAAGTATAAAGGAATACCTAATATTTTCCATTTTAGTATAGCACAATCAACTGTCTTTTGAATTCAACTTACTCCCCATTCCCCCTTTCAACAGTTTCTAAAATTCAATCTTATTATATTTCCTCCTTAAATAAACCAAGTCAAATGGAAGGCACTACAGAAAAATATGCAGTTCTTTTGAAAATTAATGTACATTTAAAAAAGAAGAACACAAATATGAATTGATGCAAGTTTGTTGTTGTTGCTATCTTTGTCTCACCTCTCCATGTTGCTATCTTGTGTTCCTCTAACTCATCCATCTTGACCTAGGGATGGAGTGGGAAATAGAGAGGAAAGAAAGAGAGGGATGGATTAGAGAGAGAGAGAGAGAGAGAGAGAGAGAGAGAGAGAGAGAGAGAAGGGGGAAGAAAGGAAAAGCAAAAGAGTAAAAGGAGACAGTCATGAAGAGACAGAAAAAAGAAATTAAAAAGAGGGAGAGAGATAGAGAATAAGAGCAGGAATGAAACATGGAGACAAGGAAAGAGAGAAAAGAAAAGGAGAGGCAGAAAGAAGAATGAGTGGGAGGGAGAGAAGGAGGGAGAGAAGGGAGGGAGGGAGAGAGAGAAAGAGAGAGAGAGAGAGGCAGAGAGAGAGACAGAGACACAGAAAGGGTAGAAAAGAGATTTATTTTCAATTACTCATCACACAGACATTTCAAATTGCATGCAGTGAACAAATTTAAACAATTTGCAGTAAAATCAGAATCCATGCACTAATGCTAAAAGCTTGAGAAAGAGCTTTTTAATGGCAAATGGCTTTTCCCATACCTCAAAATAGAGCCCAAGGATAACAGCATACCAATCGATAAAATGTACATCCATGTGTACATTTCAATGAGGAATTTTCCACATGGGTGTCACCAGCAGACATAGCATTTATGCTATACTTTTGCCAGGCACAAAGAAACATTCAATGTTCTCTGAATAATATACAGGTAGCCATTACAGGCAAATCTGTTTTGCATGGTCCTACGTGTTATCAGTATCTGGTGCAAAAATTGAAGCCCTTAAAAATCACTCTTCAAAATGATCATGAAGTGCCTCAAATAAGTAAAATCTTGAGTGACTGGTTTTACCATACTCATTTTCCCCAATAGACTGTAGTGTCATAAAAACCGTTGGGGAAAATTATTTTTGAAATTTTGAATTCCAATCACAAATATCTTGATAATCAGACAAGCGATCGGCTTGTAAAAGTCATGGAGTTCCTGACTGACTTAAAGGTCTAAAATTATCATTGCAGCATGAGCTAAATCCAGGATTTTGTTTCAGAATCCGAGACAAAGTTACCGGATCCCTTTAATAATGGAGGTCATGTTTTGTATCTTGATAGACACACAAATTCATTTACATGCTAAATCACTGAAGAAGAAAAAAATGTACACCTATTATTACATCAGAAGTAGATGTGAACGTCTTATACATCAAAATTTCAATTAAATTGAAACAATTCTGAGAATACCTCAAACCAGAGTCACATATGTACTCCCAAGCCTTTCTTGAGGTATATCAATGATATTACACATGAAAGACATGCTGTACTTCTTCAGCATACATTGTACCATCTGCTAACAGCCAGGAAGATGTTGACACATAGTAATACACACTAGGCCTGTCTTCATCAGCTCGAGTTTGCCAAATAACCTGCTATTTCCAGACTCCGGATATTATCCTGAAGCTCCAAATTGCGTCTTCACTAGAACGATATGTGCATCTCAAACTAGCATGGACGGGTGCAAATTAGCCCGCTATTTTGGAAACAACATCCAATATCCCGCTAATTGCCACTGTGGGCTGATGAAGACGCAAATTAACTGGCTAATTCGCGATCAGGGTAGTTAATAAAGCGGGTTATTTAGCCAACTGGAGCTGATGAGGACGGGCCTAATGTGAATGCCCTACAGGCTCTCAGCAGACAAAATCATATAGTCCCCTTCACGACAATCATTCCACATTTTGTGCTTTGGCTAAAAAACATTGGATTCAGAGTCCTTAACAAAAAGCCAGATGCATTTAATAGGAGAAAGAGCTTAAATTTCTGCACATACGGCAGCCATTTTGTTTTAAACCGCAACGCTTTTTTTACAAATTATAAATTCATGTGTAAATGAATGGCAACTAAATGCAACAAAGGTCCAACCCATATTCACTGAGCTGTGTGTTATGATATATAGGGATGTGGAGCGCATTACCTTAAGGTCATTCAAAACTAATTAATTAAAAAACCAATCGCAGCTTTCCACTTCATACATGAACAAGGTTTCAAGAGAAGGTTGAGTTCTGGGAAGAGGCGAAAAATAATTTGTGAGCGTTATCATTCTATTATGCAAGTGTGGAAGAACATCAAATAAAAAAAAATGTTCCCTGAATAGCATGGCTCTTCAAGTGCTTTAATATTTTAAATATGGCATGTCCGAATGTTTGTGTAGTCCCATATACATCTTTCCGTGTACAGTGCTTGTAACTTTACAGAGACTGGGCCAAATTTCTTATCATTTTGATGATTCCAGGACCTTGGAGTACACACCAATACTTATATGCTAGGTGATCAACATTTTCTGATCGAATCCACACCGTTTCTTTCACAATGCAATCGCATGACCAGAACTCAACTTTATCTTTAACTAGTAGGTTTTCCAAACCTAAATCTATGCATCAACTTACCAATGGTGATTTGTAATAGTACTGAAGGATGTTGATGAAGTCTGTTATTGTCAGCATACCTGTATTTAAAAATTAAAAAAAATCAAAGCATGTATGTGATTACTCCAGAAATATACTTAATTGCTCGCTGTAAATGTCCCGCAAATTTTCTACATTGAAATTGCCAAGAGAAGATTCTGTCGCTTCAATAAAGATTTTGACTCTGAGAAACCATCATAACTTTCCTGTTCCTTTGTTTGATAACTTTCATGAATTTGCATTTCTGATATTTCTGCTTTCATCTAATTTAACTTCCAAGAACAATCCCCTTTGAAACTCACATTGATGCTTTGATGTGCATGTACACCTGAATGTTATGTCATTTACATCCTACACTTTGCCATAGTGACATTAATGATACAGCCAATTTGAATTGCCCATTAGCCTACAACTTTAAAAAAAAATCATAACTTTCTTATTTTTTGTCCGATTACGTTCAAACTTTCACCAGTCTGCTTGTCTGATTTCCCTGCTTTCTTTTAGAGTAGTTTGCTATTAGGATTGGATTCCTTTTTACAGTTGATATACATCAGAATGCATGGTGAGACCAGGGGGTGTTTCACAAAAACCCTAAGTTGAACTTGTTGAAAATATTTTGTAAAAGTTATTTTAAAAGGCATTAAATGTTGATTCAAATCATTCATATTTTCTATTATCAGGGAGATTTCATGTTCTTGATGTGGAATTTATGAAAAGTCTAAAATACTTGAATTTTTGCTGTTGAATATATTTTATTTTAAGGCGACAAATGGCTCTCCATAATGTTCATGTCTAACTTAAGAGTTAAGTTCAACTTAGGATCTTTGTGAAACTCTGACCTTTCCACAAGTCAAAAAGCATCTTATTCATTGGTCTTTGGGGGAGGATTCTAACTGCAATCTGGCTTTCTGAACACTTACCCACAAAGTCTTGCTTTGAGCTGTCCCATAGTGGAGCTGCTCTGACACCATTGTACACCAAGGCATAGAAAGCCTTCTTCACCTGCAACAACAAGTAAAGAAATACAAATAAAAAACAAACTTGTTTAAAGCCCCACTGCACTACTTGTACCTACCTGCCCCCTCGTTATACCAAACAATGCCTTAGTGGTACCCATTGGTCCCCAAGGATCAACTTTTGCTTATGTTAATTGAGAGCCGATTTGATGAGATAACCACCAATCAGTGAACTCCCTGGGTGGTCTAATCCCTCCTGGCAAAACTAGTGCAGATAGGCTTTAAAGTCCATACAACACCGGTAAGCATAGTCATACTTAATTCCTACAGCTTTGGGTGTATCTAACTGTAAATGTATAAGAAGTTTTGCAATTTCATGTCAACTACTATTTTTTGGACATTAACAAGGATTAGGGAAGGCTAAAAAAAAGATATTCTTGAGTGTCTTATAGTGAAATGTCAAAATAGACACCTCAATATGTCAGGATCAGTGTCGACAAATGCACTATAAAAGAATTCTACATCGCTCTCATATGGACAGAATATTAATGCTGCCTTAAAAAAAATGACTTAAGAAGGATAAGGGATATGAAATATACAGGAGGCAGAGGAAAAAGAAGATCTGGAGGCTACAAATGAGCCCTGGAAAGCTCTAAAAAGCTTTTAACGAGCTCTGGAAGTAAATGATCAAAATATGAGCACTAATGTCCTTTGGCAAGACTTTGATCTACGTTGCCACACTTAACCCAGGTGTTGTAAATGGGTACCTGGCAGGAATTAATTCCTCGAAATGCTAGAGCGCCGTAGTGGCAGTCTTGCTAAAGCCAGGGTAATAATCTGGGTAGCGCCAGGAGCGTCACAATGTGACGGACATGTGCGCTATATAAGAAGCCATCATTATCATTATATTGTTACAAGCATCACCTCTCACTCTTATAACCTAGCACAGAGTATATAGTAACCTTAAGCGACATTTAACATTTCTCAGAAGGCTTCTTGTTCCAGCCAGGTTCAACATACTGGTACTCTTTTATTAAACATTGGCAAATATGGCACTCTATTGCAGATTTCTAACTTGGATGATGGCCATTAGGGTAAAGTAGCTACTTGGAGACAATTTTAACATTAATGGTACATGCACTTTGAAAGTAAAGAAAAGTAGCATTGGGAGAGGGAGAGAGAGAGATAGATGGAGAGAGAGATAGAGATAAAGGAAAAAAGAGAAAGAAAGAGAGAGAGGGGGACAGAGAGAACCTCTATTATTACTCTCCATCTATCTCTATCTCTCTCTCTCTCTCTCTCTCTCTCTCTCTCTCTCTCTCTCTCCCTCTCCTAATTCTACTTTTCTGTACTTTTAAAGTGCATGTACCATTAATGTTAAAATTGTTTCCAAGTAGCTACTTTACCCTAATGGCCATCATCCATGTCAGTAATCTGCATTAAAGTGCCATATTTGCCAATTTTTTATTAGAGTATTTTCAACAATAGCGAGGAAAAACAGAGAGACATACAACCCAGGAATTAAAGATAAGTAAAGCCTCGGTCACAAATGCCATTACGAACTGCTACCAAAGCCGTACAAACGATTTTTAGACAATGGAAATTCAGGAAGACAATGGAAAAACCGGGAGATTTGTACGAATTTATCGTTCGTACGAACCTTTGTGACCATAGCATAAGGGGGAATGAGAAGGAATATATATCAAGGTGCCTTAAAAATAGTAAGCAAAAGAGAAGGACAGGGAAATCAGCACTGAATCCTTTTAATGAAGAAATTGTTCTTCATCTACGCTGCATGAACCCAGTCGCAGTTGCTCTTCAATCAAGATAACAATGCAATATATCCCTGGGACAAAAAGCAATCATGGTAATATTCTCTTGAGAGTGAATTTGTCTGAACTTACCAATAACTCTGCATCAAAGACGACTAGTTTGGAGCTGGTCGGGATGATCTCATAACATTTGTGATTCTTCATAAACCTTACGAAGGTCATATCTTCCTCCTCTGTTGTTGCCATAGCGATGGGGAATAATGACATGAAACAATGCAGAGAATGGCAAAAACAAAATTAGACATGCCTACTGTCTTTAAAAAAATGAACATTATGCCTGTAGGTACATATAATATTATCTAATTGCTATTCAATCATTTTTTATTTTTGTAATATTTATTTTAGCTTCAGAGTTCTGCTTATTATAACTGCTTCCATGAAAAAAATTAGTTGAGCTTCTTTTCTTATTGAAAAGTCTTTGTAATTAACAATTGGTTCTAAGTTTTTGTCAAGCTTTGATTTCATTCAAAACATCATTTTGTGCAGCCTATCGCATTGATGATGCAATGAATACTGCAAAATTTCAATGAACATTCTCAAACCTTTTAACAAAAATTAAATGAAATCTGTCTTGTACACTGTACTTTCTCTGAGCTCCTTCAGATTTCCTCCACAGTCTGAATAGAATGGAAATGAGTGGGCAGGTACCATGCAATTTACCAAATATCAAACACATAAATAATGACAACATTTGTAATGAATATGTTGTCTGTTTGGATCCAGAAGGGCGTTAACTCATATACTTTAACACAGACAGAGTTAATGCCCTTCTGGCTCTCAACAGATGATGTCATCTGTTGAGAGCCAGAGGGCATTAAATCATCTCTTTATAGAGGCACGTTCCCGCCATTGTAGTTATCGCTGCTCTAGTCATCGCTATCTTGGTTCCGAAGATCGACTTCTTATTTGCATACAGCTGTCAATCAAAGTACGCGCGGCCTGGCCTGCCTTCGTCCAGCCAGCTGATCGCTGCCGATCCTGACGTCACGTAAGTGGGCGGAAACAGCAGCCGAATCTTAGAACCGAACTGCGATTGGTATTACTTCGGCACATGTATGCGATAATCGGCATTGTGCGGGCATTCGGAACATGCCATCTGCGCGTAAGAGCCGTATTCTGTTGGTGTCAATAGGCAGCTAGCATCGTCCGCCAGCGGGTACGTATTTTGAACGCCCTCTGGAATACGGGGAACATGCCACTTTAAGCTATGAGTTAACGCCCTTCAGGCTCTTATCTTCTAGATTTCAGAAGCAGAAGTTGCACTGCATATCATATGATTTCAAATTTATAGAGAAAGAATTTGATAGGTTTGTTTAATAGGAGCATGGTGAATATAATGAAAGGATTTGGAAGAGACAGCAAAACACAAACAAACAAACAAAAAACAAACAACCAAATACAAAACAAAACAAATGAAAGATATAAAATGTGAATTAGTAAGATGGTTATAAAAAAGGTTTGTGTAATTGAGCAAGTGAATTTTACGAATGAAAGTAGGAAAAAATTGAGACAGCAAAAAAAAGCAAAGAAACAAACAGCACAACAAAACAAAATGCTTCTTCTTTTTTTTTTTTTTACAGGTTTGTGTAATTGAGCAAGGGAATTTAATGAATGAATGTAGAAGAAATGGAGATAACAAAATGCAAAGCACAAAAACAAGCAAACAAAACAAATAAACAAAGATAAAACATATATTTTTTTCAAACAGTTTGTGTAATTGAGCTCATGAGTTTAAAGAATGGATGTATAAGAGATGAAGTACACAAAACAAATAAACAAATCATTTGTATTAGCAAAGAGATATCCTCCTTGGTATTAGTAGCAATGGTAATAACAACAATTTGAATGAGTGGAGGGCATACAAGGTCACAGTTAAGGTCATGAGGTCATGGAGTGACTTTCTTTTTTCAAAAATGAATTACTACATAATAGATAAATATGTCCAATCTATTATAGAAAATTTATGCATATAAAAAATGAAGATGGGTTTGATTTTGGGAAGATGACTCAAGTCAACTACTCAAAATGGTCATATTCAGAATAAAAAATATTTTGGTGTACATTTTAGTTTTCACAGGTTCATTCTCATACACCTTTTTCTTTTGTTATAATTCAACATACTATTTATTCTTCTTTTGAGGAAAAAAATAGTGTGTAAGGTAGCAGTAGTTAGCAAACTTTGTAGGTTGTCATAAGGAAAAAATTAATCAATGATTGAACTGTCTGTGCCAAAAAAAAATAATCACATCAAGTGTTAATTCAATATACATTATGATTAAAATGAGTTGTCCTAATTCCAATCATTCTGTATCCGTCATTTAATCAGGGGTTTTTAGTCTTTGAATTACATGTCTTCATTATAATTAATGAAAAGCCTCCTGAGAAAACCTCATTTCAAATGACTTTTCCTAGCTCTACTGAGCTCTAAATGTATGCATCTTTAAATGTCAATAGTCAAAACCACTTCAAAGATACAAAATGGAGAAGGGTCCTTATAAGGGGATCATCTTTTCATGACTTTGTTAATGTCCTAAACAATTCCAATTATTCAAAAGAAACACAAAAGGGACAGGGGTAGGCCTAACCCTATCTGCCTAAAATAATGGTTGTTTAAAATGGAGAAAGCTTCTACTAAAGAAGTTCATGAAGTATAACTTTAATATTAAAAACAAGGCCAAATATTCAAATGAAACACATGGGAAGGCACATAAGTAGGTTCATATGCATACACTAATGAATTCTGAGGATGGAGAAAGGTTTTACTGAAAAAAGGTCATAAAATACAACTTTATTATCTTAAATAAAGGCATCCATTTGAGGGAAATTTATGAGAAGAGAAAGCTTCTTATAAAGGATGCCATGAAATAAAACTCTGCACTTTGCCGATTCACTCTCAACTTCTGGTATTAAATGTATCTATGGATCTCACGTTTCATCGCCCCTAGGTTTGCCCGTATAATAAGGAAAGCTACTTAAGAAAAATGAGAAGGGACTGGGGTTATAAGCCTGCATGCAAACCATCATGAATTCTGAAGATGGAGAAGAAAGGTTTTAATAAAATAAAAGGTAATAAAAATATACAACTTAAATATCTTTAAAAGGGCAGACCATTTGAGGGAAGAGACGGGGGGGGGGGGGGGGGGTAGACCTGTACACAAACAATAATGAATTCTGAAGATAGAGAAAGGTTGTGAAAATAAAAAGTTCACAAAATTTAACTTTAATATCTTAAATAAGGCCAACCATTTGAGGGGAATATATATGAGAAGAGATGGGGAAGAGTGGTAGACCTATATGCATACAATAATGAATTGCAAAGATGCAGGAAGGTTCCAATAAAGGTCATAAAATATAACTTTGATATCTAAAATAAGGCCCACTCCTGGAGGGAAACACATTTTACTATGAGAAGGGATGGGGGGGGGGGGGGATGAATATCGGCTTAAATGCATATAATATTTTTTTCTGAAGATGGGGCAGAGGAAATAACATGCACTGACAAATTATGTTTTCTGTCATTCACTTGACAATTTTTTTCCTCAGTGTTTTCACTTTGTTTTTTGTGTGTTTCTTTTCGTATATCGTAATGGCCAATTTGAAGGTATTATTGCACTGTTGGTAATACCTGAACGAATATCAATGTAACAGGTAATACGAGAACCAAGATTATATTGGTGGTGACAAAGATACGAAAAATGGAGAAAGGAGACAAAAGTGAAAAACAAATGAATAAACAGGAGAGTGAGAGAAAGAAAATATAAAAGCAGCATAAAATGGAAGAGAAAAGAAAAGCTTCAAAATTGAATTCCAAAACAGATTAACATGTCAGTCACGAGTAGTTCTTATTTTCCTCATTTTTTAAAAGAAATATTTCTTGTTCGTGGGAGTGGGACGCATCAAAAAGATAAAAGGAGTACACTGAATAGAATTTATAATAACAAAAATACAAGCAAAAAATGTACAAAAGCAAATCAACAAATTGAAATGTCAGTTGCAAGTAGTTCTTTTTTTTCCCGATTTCGTAATCTTATATACATGTTATATATATATTTTTTTTGGAGGGGAATTTAAAAAGTCAAAGAGATTAGGTGAAATTCATTGTAACAACAACTGGAACAAAAATGCATGAGTTCTTCTCTGTACAGCTTAGATTTTTCATTTGTTTTTATTTTTATAATGCCAATGAGTAGTTACATAAAAAATAATGAAGAAAGCACCATATACAGGAATGAAGAGATAAGGAAATTAATTATAAGATCACATTTAATTTGCTTCTATATTGGTTTACTCTATTTTTGATAAAGTGAGGTTTGCGGTCCTGATCAGAAAATGATGTGCATGGGTGCTTTTATTCGAAACCTATCAGTTTTGACTTTTCATCTCGAGGGAAGGATGGAATGCATTAACCCAGTATAGCTGAAAACTGAGGAGACCCTGTCGCCATCTCAAACCAAATTGCCTAGCAGGGAAGCCTGTAAAGCCAACGTGCTGCGTAATCTTGAATATTTTGAACTTCATTCCATGCTACGATGATGAAGGAAAAGGACAAGAAGAGGAACATATGTCAGGAATCAAGAGAGAAAAGAAGAAAAAACAAAAATGAACTGCAGAAATGGGGAAATGAGAGAAGATAGTGAGATAGTGAGAGAGAGAGAGAGAGAAAGAGAGAGAGAGCGGGAGAGAAATAGAGAGAGAGAGAGAGAGAGAGAGAGAGAGAGAGAGAGCCAGAGAGAGAGAGAGAGAGAGAGAGAGAGAGAGAGAAAGAGAGAGAGAGAAATAGAGAGACAGAGAGAGAGAGAGAGAGAGAGAGAAGGGGGGGGGGGGAAGGGGAGAATAGGTGGCTAGAGAGGGAGAAATGGAGGTTGATAATGATGGCCTCAAGGAGCAAGAGAGTGTCGAAGATGAAGAGAGAGACTGAAATTCAATGCATTATGATATAAAATAAAAACCTTAACAGAGCACCACACCAAAAATAAGGATAATTTTTAATAATAATATCAAGGATTAAATCTTTCAAAAAATATAAAAATATCATGATTCTCTGAAAGAAAAATCATACATCTCTATCCATCAAGCACTAAGAAAATAAAGAGTATGGTCTGGGGCGGGGGGTGGGGGGGAGATTACCAACTACCTATGTTAGTTAACCAACACCCAATCTCTACGTCATCTTGTGAATATGTGCATATATGCTAATATTTTTTTTCTCACAGCAATCATTGTTTTTTTAACAGTTTTATGTTTCATACCTTCCTTGTAATAATCCCTTGTCCCTATAGGATCACTGGCCTTACGGGGAAGCTACAAAAGATAGTCACAAATGGTTGGAAAGAGAACAAGACAAAAAAACACATGAAAAAAGATGAAAACCATGTCTGCATGAAAACAAAAGAGTTTGCGCAAATAAAATAACAAGTCATTGATGAAATGCTGCTAAATCAAAACATGAAAAGAACTAAACAAAGCTGAAAAAGAATAACGATGTAGGGTGACTCTGTGCAACGTGTCCTAAACTACATGACTTTTTTTCGTTCAAATATTTCATCCACCGATTGAAGAATATCTGGATATGACCAGTGAATTATAGTGCTCTCTGTTACCACTACCATTATTCATTGTCATGTTGAGAATGAGATCTTTCTTTCAAAGTATGAAAATATGGATAGACGTCATAATGCCAAATAGGACACATTGCATGGAATCGCCCTGATTTTAAAGTTAAGAACGAGCATCGTACATTCTGTGCTTGCAATACCAGTATTTGGACCCTCTTAGAGACAACATAAAGTGACTGGAGTGCTCAAAATACAGAGGTACCAAAAAAGGTATGAGACTGACATCAGAAGATTTGGAGTGATACGAGTGATGCTACAGCTAAACTGGTAATAATACTTGTGTGGTATCTTAGCAACGAGTACTTACTGGCAGTTGAATATGTAGTGGTATTGACAAGGAATTTTAATTGAAAGTGGCACAGTAATTCTGAAGTTTTTACCATGCATGAAGTAGATTTCTGTGAAGTTAAATTCACAGGGAAGCTTTGCACAAGGGCAAGACTTCCACTATATTTCTTTGCCCATTTCTTAGTTTTGTTTATACATTTTCTATCAAAAGTGTTTTCTACAGATAAAAATAGTTGAAATTTGTTTTTTGTACACAATTTTGTTTGTGCATTAAGTATAATTACTTTGATTCTGTGAGACTTTATTTTCAATTATTACCCCCTCCCCCTTACATTTCATGCTTAATTTTCTTGATATAGAGCTTTTGTCTTTCAAATCATATATTTCTGACAACAAAATTGGTGGTTTTAAAGAGCAAAAATGAGTGAATACCACATAAACATTTATTTCAAAGAATAATTTTTTTTTAAATTTCATACATACACATATGTTTTATATTGTGGAACAATGTGCAGGATACATTTTGTGCAACTGGGACCCCAAAATGACATTGTGGTACCATTTGCAAGCACATGTACTTTTACACGAAGAACAAAGCTAGCTTTAATGACATGACATACAGCAGCCTGGAATTTGGAATGCAATGGGAACTGAAACAAAAAATGAACATTTTTCAGGACGCTTCACAAAAGTTGAACTTTCTGTCTCTGGAAATCAAATGAAGACAATCTAAAGCAAGAATTAGGAACTGGTTAGAATATGAGAATTGAAGTAACATGAAAATGGTTGAAAACAAATAAAGCTGGAGTTGAAAGAAAGAAAGAGTGAGTGTTGCCGCATGCTGTCCAACTGTCTTGCACTGAAACTAACCTTTCTTTTTAACGTAGGACTCTGAGTAGGATCGCTGTAACAAATGGGGATTTAAGTTTGGTTAGAAAAATTAAACATTCTGTTAACAAAAATATCATCAAAGAAAAATGATAATGATAATAATACAAAAGTATTGATGTTATGATATTGATATCGTACACTGTAACATTATCATCATATCATACCATACATGGGTAAACAATTATTACAAGATAAGTAATATTATTCATTGATAACATAACCAATTCAACTTTTCATAGTTTTGCATTCATAAATAAACATTGATGACACAGTAAGAATAGAAACAGCAAACTTTTATCAAACATACAATTGCACGATAAGAGGAGTGCAAATATGACCTTTCACCTTTTACATTTATAATCAGATCAATACTGTGAGGTGATATGTCTGAACGGCAGACATGGGTTTTCAGAAGTCCTATAGTCTCCTCAATTCTAGCCTTTGGCTTTGTGATGACTCTAATTTTATAGCAGACTGTAGATATTCCCCCTATTAATGTTTGATTTTGATTGTAGTTGATAAATAGTTGATAAATACTCACAACTCTAAGTGGCTCCAATCTTTTCTTCTAAAGTGAGGTAATAAACAAATCAAAGTTACAAAACTGTGACACCCGGCCGCAAAATAATTCACCTTTTGTTTCTAACTTTCTATCTCTAAAAAGCTTGGATGTTGATATTCGAATGATGGAGAGAGAAGGCTTAGCATGACACATGCTCCTTACTTTAAATGGAAAGCAACATTTTTGAATTTTTGAGGGCCGCCTCAAGTTTGGTTGAGATTAGATCAACTGGGCTTAAATCTACTTAAATATTTTTAAACATGCAATATATTTAACAGATCCATGCATATTATTCTTCAGCGTCTAAATCTTGGACTAAAACTACAGAAAATGCAGCACAAAGCTTGAAAAAATATATACTTTTAAATACATAACTCCTAGCTGCCAACATAATTTTGAGTGGATTTGAGAAATAAGTCAACGGTCAAATGATAAATTATGCTAATCTGGATTGGTGTATAGATGCTATTTCCTATACTCATCTTAAATATGATAAATGCTAATCACATCCTATTTCTACAGGAAAATGGTGACATTCACTCAGACATATTAAAATCAATCTGAGACTCTGGGCTCGACAAAGAAAATAGGACAGACAGCTGCATTTCATATCCAATGAATTCACCCCCATACGTTCAAACGATCAAAATGTCAAAACTATTGATGACATCCTCAATAAAAAGTGTTTTTTTCTTGGAGTTCATTCTACGCAACCGTCTTCATCAGTCACGTCATATCATGATCTACTTTGTATCCATCACAACTATCCTTTAAGTATACCAATCACTTTAAAATATAATTTGTGTATAGTGTATGAAATCAATCTCAAAAACCTTACTCAGTATTCTAAAGAAAAAAAAGGATCAGTTGGAGGGAGGAAGGCATACAAGATGTCTCTTATTATATTGAGAAACACAAAATGAACAGCAAACTATGCAATATTGGCATTGTACTTATACAAGAAGAAAGTTTAATTAAACCTCTAGTATAAACCAAGAGCTCTCCACCCTCTACATCTCATCATCAAGCTATCCAATATTCTTTCCCTACTTCATTCTCCTCCCTCTGTTGTTCCCACCTCTCTGTTTTTTTATACCTCCATCTAACTTTTTCTTCCTTCATTTTGCTCTTTTCTCCATTTTGAACTGTCCGTCCACCCTCTTTCCTCCCCCTTGTTTTTCTTTCTCCTTCTCCCTCCTCTTTTTTCCCATCTCTCTCCGTCTTCCCCCTCTTTCTCTCCCTTTTTCTCCCTTTCTCTCCCTTTCTCTCCGTCTCTACCTTCCACCCTCATTTCTCATTTTTCTCTGTGTAGGTGCCTAATCTTCAATCTATATCTTCAATATTTGTTATCCTCTGGGTGCCATTAAAATGCATCATGCCCTCGGGCCAATCAGTTCTTGAAGAGCAAGAGTCCTCCACCCCCCTCTCTCTCTCTCTCTCTCTTTCTCCTTTCCTCTCCCTCCCTCCCTCCCCTTCTCCCTCTTTCCCTTTCTCCCTCATTTCTCTTTCCCTCTCCATCTCAGTTTTCTCTGTGGGCCTCATCTCCAATCTATATCTTCAATATTTGCTATCCTCTGGACACCATTAAAATGCATCTTGCCCTCAGGGTCTCTCTCTCTCTCTCTCTCTCTCTCTCTCTCTCTCTCTCTCTCTCGTCTCTCTCTCTCTCTCTCTCGTCTCTCTCTATCTCTCTCTCTCTGTCTCCGTCTCAGTCTCTAATTCTCTCCTTTCCTCTCTCTCTCTCTCTCTCTCCTTTCCTCTCCTTTCTTCTCTCATTTCTCTTTCCCTCTCCATTTCAATTTTTCTTCATAGGCCTCGATCATCTCCAATCCATATCTTCAATAGTTGTTATCCTCTGGGTACCATTAAAATGCATCTTGCCCTGAGCAGGGGTCCATCAGGTGTTCAAGAGCAAGAGCTTGATCGGAGCAATCATCAGAGAAGCCAAAATAATGATAATCACGTCTAGGACTTCACGTCCCATGCAATTACATAGCACTATTGACATTCAACCATTGGCCACACTCCTTACCATATGGTTACAGTTTTTCATTAATTCTCAACCTTTTCCTTAAAACGCCATCAGGTTGCCTAGCTTTTGCAATGCTGTTTATTAAATTGACAGCTCAAAAAACGTGAAGGGTACGTGTAAGCTGATATCATTGCACATCACCATTTTAACTCACAGCAGAGAAAGTTGAAATGTTTCATAAGGGTTAATCAAAGTCATATGTATATTATATTTTAAAATAGGTCTTAATGATAAAATACCAATAATTCAAACTGCTACTTGCTTTTGTTTTTAATTTAAAGATGACAAACAAGTAAAATACATGAAAATTATTCATTACATAGTCCCTACTTTACTTTTGTTTTCCTTTGCTTTTGTAACCCTTGTAATTGACATGATAGATTTCTTAACTAGTGTGACACCTGGCATTATTGTAAAGTCTAAATTGCATTTGGATTCAGACGATGACATTTTAGCTTCTAATATAGTTATGTAGGCATTTTACCAAGACAACATTGCAAATATCTTTCAAAAACACCACGTAATGTGCCACCCACAGGGATAACATTTTGTGGAAATGTTTTGGCAATCTCCGACACATTGATTGATTAGATTACATTTTCAAATAACATTTCTTGGTAAGAAAAAAGAATAATGCGGCCTGTGATCTCCATAAATGACATAACTATTTTTAATGAAGTCTTACAGAATTACCATTGTATACGATTCCCAGAAACTTCAGAAACTTTAGAGTATATTTTATTCAGGATTCACAATAAAGATTTCTTAGACCCGTTCTCATTCACTTCATTGGAGCGGTCTAACTAAGACCCATTCCTCAGGAGCAGTTCTTAGGTGAGTGAGAACGGTCAAAGTGGTCCAGGAAGTGGACTTCTGGACCGCTCCAGAAGACCACCTCGGGAGGTGGTCTTGAGGAACGGGTCTTATTAAGAGCGGTTTGGACCGCTCTAACGCGCCATGTGAACGGAAGCGTACTTTGACCGGAAGTGAGCTAGTGACATTCCGTGCGAAACATGTAGTACGGTACATACGGTTTGTATTCTGCGCGCGAAAAAATTGACCTGCTGACCTGAGCTGCCATAGCAACAAGACCACTTTGACTCGTGGAGCGGTTTGAGCCTTAAAAAACTGCTCGGAGTGTGAACGCTCGCAAAACGTTCCTCAAGACCCGTTCCTCTGGAGCGGTCTAACTAAGACCACTTTCAAAGTGAGTGAGAACGGGGTCTAAGAGATATGTCAAAAAAAATTCCCTTCTGCCTAAGGAAAGAATCTGATAAATGTCATCGTTTACATTTGGGTCGCTACGATGTTGATCAAACATTCATAAGCAATGGTTAATAAAGAGACATGCCCTGATGTCATTCTGTTTTTAATCATCTAACCGAGGGGGTGGGTCATCTCTTATAAATGTCATCTCCACAGCAAATCATGCATATCAATCTCTTACAAGTTGAAAAACTTGATCTGTTTATTAAAGGAGGCACTTGCACCCTGCTTTATCGCATATTTTAGGGGGCAAATGTTTTGTCCTCAGTATTGTAGCTATCATACCAGTGCCAGGAAAAGAAATATAAAAGGGAGCAGAGGTTTTATAAGTAGAAAAATGCTCTAGAAACTAGGAAGAAATATCTGAAAGTACATATCGTCCTTGTTTTCACGAAGTGACGGTAGTGAGGAAAATCGTAACGCAAAGTGAATGCAATTATTTTTCACTACCGTCACTTCGTGAAAACAGCGACGATATATATATTTTTTTTCTTCATACATTTAAAACAGGTTCAGTGAACATAAATTTTGACTCATTGGTTTATTTTTATTTTTTAAATAAACATTTGTATTACAATATTATAAACACTAATAAACTTATTATTATTATTATCAATATTATTACATATATTGCTATTATTATTATTATTATTATTTTGTTGTTGTTGTTTGTTTGTTGTTGTTGTTGTTTTTTTTGGGGGGGGGGGGAGACATATTTGCAATACTAAAGGATGAGTTTATGGGAACCAGTGTATACTGTTTATGCTCTCTCAGTTAGATTGTTGTACATGTATATCTAGCAGCTGTTGAATCTACCCATCATCATCAACCGAGTCACAATGATGAATGAAGCAGCTAGCCCAGCCTAAATCATCCCATCTCAAATAACATGGGTTTACTTACAGCTACGTGTATGTAGCATCACCGCTGAGATATCAACTTGACTTTGAAGGTACCTTCTCTCTCCTTTTTTCCTTTTCTCTCTTTCTCTCTCTCTCTTTCTTTCTCTCTCTCTCTCTTTCTCTTTATCTCTCTCCCTCTCTCCTCTCTTGATCTCTCTTTCTTTCTTTCCTCTCTTGATCTCTCTTTCTTTCTCTCTGTCTCTCCTCATCTCTCTGTCTCTTTCCTCTTCCTTCTCGTTGCTTAAGACTGTACACACATACAATGTACTCTATGAATGATTGCTCCACAGTTAATTTTTCTGCACTCTCTTCAACCCTGACTCTAATCATGATTTTTCTGCACTCTCTTCAACCCTGACTCTAATCATAACCTAACATCCAATTTCAATCCCAATGCAACTCCCTGACCAAATCTTATGGGTACATCACATCTAAGATATCAACTTGACCTCTTCTTTGTCTTCCTCTCTTTTTTCATCTCTCTCTTTCTCTCTTGCTCATTAGCTACAGTCTACATCTATAATAAAAATAAGAAATAGCAAATCTCTGATATCTCTCTTCTAAGGCTTTGACTGCTCTACATCTTTTATACTTCAAACGTGACACATATTTCTCTCTTTATCAAGTAATAAAAAGAGAAAATGGATTATACCTGTAACTACCCGATTGGAGTCGTTTCATATAACATAAGCACATTTATTTGAAGTTGCAGGCATTATAAATGCTAATGACCTTCTGCTTGACTCAATAGTGTCTGTCCGTTCGTGCCTTCTTCTTCTTCAAGCTAATCTGCCTCCTTCACTGCTGAAGCTGCTTGCAGATGTAAGTGCATGTGTGTGGCGACATAGGGATGCCCAGGTCTGCGTACATGTACATGCCCTTATGCCAGCCGTACAGAAACTTTTCATTCTTACCAAAACACAAGACAACCATATTCCTCTATTTCTGTTGTACCTTTACCTATAGTATATTCTACCAAAACTCAATAGGACCTTATTCCTCTACTTCTGTTGTACCTTTACCTATAGTATTCTACCAAAACTCAAGATAACCTTATTCCTCTATTTCTGTTGTACCTTTACTTATAGTATTCTACCAAAACTCAAGATAACCTTATTCCTCTACTTCTGTTGTACCTTTACCTATAGTATTCTACCAAAACTCAATAGGACCTTATTCCTCTATTTCTGTTGTACCTTTACCTATAGTATTCTACCAAAACTCAAGATAACCTTATTCCTCTACTTCTGTTGAACCTTTACCTATAGTATTCTACCAAAACTCAAGACAACCTTATTCCTCTATTTCTGTTGTACCTTTACCTATAGTATTCTACCAAAACTCAAGAGGACCTTATTCCTCTACTTCTGTTGAACCTTTACCTATAGTATCCTAATATCCTATCAATACTTACATCCCCTTGGCTCTCCTCCACCTCCGTCTCCAGAGCCATCGCCTCATCGATATCAATCATCTTGAAGATATGATCAAATCACTCCCGCGGAGATATGATCAAATCACTCCCGCGAGGATCAGATTCAATCTACTGGGAACTTAAATTCTCTAATGTACTCTCTATCTCCCTTGCTGATTGCAGATGGCGATAGTAATGTTAAAAGCTTGGTGTTACAACATCTATATCAGATTGCGGATGGCGATAGTAATAGAAACGTTAAAAGCTTGGTGATAACAACATCTATATCAGTGACGATGAGTTGTCTGAAATGTTATTCCTCTAATGAGCAGTTGCCATGGCAATCACAAGTAGTGAAAAATGTAAGAAAGAGAGCTTGAGGTGGTGAAACAGTATCACGCCAAGTTGTTTGGTTTGATTGTAATTGATATTCCTCTAATGTACTTTGCTTTCCGCTTCAAGGACTATTAAAATCCAAATGTTGACAAGCCTGGTAGTGCCAGTAGAGTATAGTCCGCAAAGCGTAGCCGAGCAGAATGCAAGCCAATAAATTATATTCCACAGCACTCGAGTTGCAAATATTCACAGGTTGTAGTCAAAAGTTATCATCATGCAGATCCTGGCTACCAATGGAAAGCTATTTCATTCATGAATTAGTTTCAGCGTAACAATTAATCCTCATCAGTACTTTGATAATAAAATGTTAGAAATCAATGGTTTATTCATACGATACAGGGATTCCAGTAAAAACAATCCTCATGTACTGTAGCTTGTAGATTTCACATGAGGTAAATTTGCTCAAAGCCACCAAACGACATTCAACACATCAGTTTTCATTTCCAAGGAAAATTATAAAGACAAAAACAAATCCGCTTATGGTCTGATCAAGGAATGCAACATATCTACCGCTTGGTGATTAATCACTTTGCTGCCGACTGTCTCCGTAAGTTGGCAACAAATGTGAATCCTGATGAGTTATGGCTTCCACTATATAAATGAATGAATCCTGCAGTTGAAAGCATAGACTTGACGAGCTCGTATTCAGCATGCAGGTACCTTGATATTTTCATGCATTATAAATTGATTGAATGCAATTATATTACACCGTGTGATGAGCCAACCTACAATGTTCTGTGGGTATGATGTAGTCACACACGTTAGCAAGCACTTTCTGAATAAAGATAGAATACCAGGAATAGCTCACAGCTGATATTCACATCAAACTGCCCATTGAAGGGTTTCAATAGTCTGAAGATATATACCTCAATAATTACGATGAAATATCATTATGAGATAAACCTGTCCTTGTTACACAGCGAGCAACTATGTGTGACCTCGGTTCATTGATGGATTACAGTCCGGTATAGAGGAAAAGCAGCTATACGTCAAAAATTGTTGTATATTTCCTGGTTGACGATGATACACATAGACATTAATGAGCTGCAGTATATATTCCAAGACACAGGACAAATGAAGAGCTGTATTCCTTGATCTCCGATGGGTAGAATCACCAGTGTAGCCTGGCTGAGCAAGAAGACAGTGAGATGGGTCGGAGAGAGAGAGAGTAACGTGAACCAGCGTTATGCTAAAGAGACTGAGCTTGAGCTGTCAGAGACCTGAACTGACCCGGTTCTGGCTAGCTTCCCACATATAAGTACACCACCATTACCATCGCAGTGAACACAACAATGCTACGCTCTGAGTCCTGCCAGCCGCCAGCAATCCAACCGAGAGCATATACTCAATTTACCATCCCCAAGCCAATAACGCCTCTACATGTGCTGTGTGATGGCTGGCGTACAGCTAGCCTATGATAATATATAGCACCGGTAGTGGGATTCCAGCCGTGTGATACCGCACTGCACAAACCTTTGCTCTGCATTGCTCACACACTATGTACATGACCCTATAGTTCTATGTTACGTCTCAGTTCAATGAGCATACTCAATGGACCCCTATTGGCGGCGTTTATCGAGTCAGGCTCAGTTAGAATCTGATACTACACGCTGTCCTATTAGGGATTCTGGATTGTGATTATTTGTATGCCTTGTTTGTGTTTGCCAAGAGATGGACTATTTGCATTGAAGTGCTATAAATAAACTTTAATTTAAGTATTCTATACCTTCGCAAATTAATGGTTGGCTTTTATGAAAGGGTGCAAAGTCAAGGACAAGCAAAGTGCAAATCAGTAAAATTGGCCGTGCCTAAGTAGAAGGAGTGATTCTTTGATGGTTGATTAACTAAGATGAGGTTCCAAGGCATCAGTAAATAGATCATGTCACTTTGAAAAGGTAGCACAGAGGCTGGCAAAGGGTAATGGTGGGTTGAGAGTAGAGTGAAGGGATGGAGAAGAGAGAGAGAGAGAGAGAGGGGATGGGGAAGGGGGTGTGGCACAAACAGAAGACACATGTAGAAGGAAAGGGAAAGAAGTAAGAGGGAGAGTGGGATGGGGGAGGGAGACAGAGAGAGAGAGAGAGAGAGAGGGGATGGGGAAGGGGGTGTGGCACAAACAGAAGACACATGTAGAAGGAAAGGGAAAGAAGTAAGAGGGAGAGTGGGATGGGGGAGGGAGACAGAGAGAGAGAGAGAGAGAGAGGGGATGGGGAAGGGGGTGTGGCACAAACAGAAGACACATGTAGAAGGAAAGGGAAAGAAGTAAGAGGGAGAGTGGGATGGGGGAGGGAGACAGAGAGAGAGAGAGAGAAAGAGAGAAAGAGAGAAAGAGTGAAAAGATGGAAAATGGGGTGTGGCACATTACAAAAGACACATGTAGAAGGAAAGGGAGAGAAGTAGGAGAGAGAGGGAGAGAGAGGGAGAGAGAGGGAGAGAGAGGGAGAGGGAGGGAGAGGGAGAGAGAGAGAGAGAGAGGGAGAGAGAGAGAGAGGGAGAGAGAGAGAGAGGGAGAGAGAGAGAGAGGGAGAGAGAGAGAGAGGGAGAGAGAGAGAGAGAGGGGGGGGGGGGGGGAGGGGAGAGGGGATAAGGGAGACAGAGGGAGACAAAGAAAGACAGCATGAAAGACAGAGAACAAGAAACAAAGACGGGTTAAAATTGAGAGACAGAGTAAATTGAAAATGATATATCGTCCGGCTCATTATTCCTCCATTTTGAAAGGTTGAAAGATTGAAGATTGAAAGCGATGCCATGTCATGGAACCTTTAATGGTTCTCGCCTCCAGTGGTAGTGCCATATTGATGGAGGAGAAGATACAAAGAGAGGGAGATCAAAAGAGAAGAGAAAATATAGAGAATGAGAGAGAGAAAGAAAGAGAGAGTAAGAAGATAAATAGTTTGCTACAGTTGATGTTTGTCACAGTTCCTTTGGAACATTATGTATTTAAAAAATATGCCAATCATGGGATTCAAAAAAAGTAAAACTAGAAAATTAAACCAATAGATAGAGGAGAGTAGATAGCCTAAAAAAATTACAACATATACTAGTACATAGTCCATAGAGAAGTAAGAAATAACACTCAATTTAAGATAAAAGACATATTATAAGCCTGTAAGAAAAGGGACTGACTGTGCATCCTGTAAAATATGGAAACCAATTGTTCATAGCATCAACTCCTGCTCTGTGGCATTTCTACCCTATCTTCTCTTGATAGTCGATACATGTAAGAAAGCCTTGAAGAACTATCTCTTTCTGTAGTAGTGCTACATCCTTCTCTGCTTAGTAATGTAAAGCTCATAGAGAATTAACCTATAATAAGTATGCGCTAGACAAATTGAAATTTATTTATAAGGGGAAAAAAGAAACTTAGATACAATTTTTTTTAATAAAACATTTTTATAATGGAAACTGTAGGAAGAGAGACGCATTTCACAGCAACCCTCATTTAGCATACAATATCAGACAGTCAGTGTGAACCCTTTCTATTTGACATCTAAACATGGACTGTATTAAATATCATGACATTAATGTTGACGTCTGATCAATCTTCATCTCATTATGTCTGCATGTTGTCTCGAAGGCAACCCTTTATGTCCCTATGAGAGCATTGGAATATATGCATAGCACAACCCTACAGGCAATTCATGCAATGCGGAAAACAAAATGAAGGGCAATATATATATAACCTTTCTCAAGTTGAGGAGTCTTGTGTTGAAAATGGTGAACGTAAGGGTAAAACTTCAAAGTGAGTTCCAGTACTGGTTGAAGAAAAACAATCATTTGAGGGCTGTCTCATTTTTCATGAACATATGGAAGAAGTTAATAGTAAAACATGAGGTTTTCAAACTAGTCATTTGGGCAGACTAAGATCAAGAATTTAATTCAGGTCACAATATCTCTAATCCTATAATTCATATATGCCAAAACCATTATTTTCATATTGATGATATTCAGCACAAACTTGTGATTTCTTATGATGTAAATGATCTTAAATTCTATAAAAACTACAATCACTTTTTCAGATTGACTTCCAAACAGTATATTTCAAAAATACAAAATACAAAAATGAACATTTCCGCCACATGTACTTTTTAGGGTTTTTGGATAAAGTTAAAAAAAGAAAAAATGGTTATATTAATTTGATTTAATTTGTTTGTTAAAACAAGTTCCTCACAAAATATCAAGCTGCTGTAAAGTTCACTCCTCTGTAATAAATGGAGTATTCAACCATGTATCTTCCTTTTTCTCTCTCTCTCTTTCTTTTCTCAGCTATTTAGTGACTCACTCCAGTATATTTTCTTCAATAAAACATAGGAGATTCATGACTAACCAGGTAACACTACTGGGGACTTTATGAATGAAGCTTGCTCTGAATGTATCCTAAAGATTTACCTCATACTTTTCTTTCTTAAGATCTTATTGCCATCAATCACTTTGTCCCAATTTCCCCAAATAAAACACTTTCACTTAAACAACCTCTGCATCATTTTAGTCATTTTATGTACAAAGACTTGAGAGAGCTACGTTGAAGTACTTTTAAGGGAATGAATTCAATTCACTTCTCAAGATTTATAGCTTACAATGTCTGTATGACATGGATTGCATTCAGTTATTTTAATGTTGTAGTGAGACAACCAGAATTGATTGCATCTTCAAGACAGCTTCAAGACAGCCATAATAAATCAACACATGTAGAGATTGTGTCCCTCTTCAAATATCCAGTTATTCTATTTCATTTCTCCTTTCTCAATTACCTTACTCTCTCTTTCCATGCTCTCACTTAATAAAGGAACCCTAAATGTCTCCTCTTTAGGTCTTATTCAGCTTTTACATTTTTCCTGCCTCCCTATTTAATGCTAATGTAAATTATGAGTACATACAATTTGCAGAGCAGAAGTGTGCCCACTTTTTTTGGGGGGGGGGGGGGGGGGGGGGGGTGTAATGTTTGCCCAATCATGAAGAACACTGATCAACATTAACAAGCTGGTAGATACACAAAGAAAAAAATTATAACAAAATAAGTGACTTAGTCCAAAATTTAGCTTCTCTTGAATTGGTTTAATATTTGATCCACTCTTTCTTGACCCTCCCATCTCCTTCCCTCATCATCGATCAACCCCTTTTCCGCTCCATTCCTGATTATTGTTTTAAATTTAAAATTGATGAGTATTTGTTTGACAAACTGACAGGAGCTTGTAGCTTGGGAGATTAATGACTTCCCCAAGTCAGCGCTCATCAATCAAGACATTCTAAGAAGTGCTCATTCCTATTGCTATAAGTAGAAGTGTGCAGAGTGAAAACATTTTCACTTAAACATATATATGGTGCTTATTCAAAGGAGTTTCATTTTCAGTTATCTCGAACTTAAAATCTTTAATAGGGTCAGTTTGTGACAATTATAGCAGAGAAATAACTGAAACAGGTCATTGAAAAAATTATAAGGAAGTTGACGTTTGAAATTTGTAGTTGATAGAACATCAATGTGTAACTCTCCAATTTCATATGCAAGTTACTTTCTTCTTAGTTTCAACATGATGCTTCTCATTTTTAGTTTCCCATTGCCCATTTCACAGAAACAATATTGCACAAATTCTATCTTGTTCTGTGAGGCTTCCATGAAAATCATCTAATCTTACATAAAAATTAGCATGTGGAATTGTTCATGGTAATTTGTGTATCAAGAGATGATAGCTACTCAAATATATATTCATATTATATTTATTCTTGGAAACCTACAAAAACAAGCTATGCTTTCCAGTAGGTTCCCGTTTCATTTCATAATTTTGAACTTACTTTGTCAACTATGTTGTCTATTATGCAAACAATTGATATATGGAATGGAATAAATTTGAATCAATCAATTTAAACATTGGCTTCCTCTCCACTCCCGTATTTTTGTTTAAACTTTTAGTTTTTGCATACGAATGCTTTCATAACATTGCCCCCTTCTTATTTACATGTAAGTGAACTATTATCATTATATCTATATTATATTATTATAAAATCATAGAGCTGCAAATTTGTAATTGATCATATCATTTTTGTTTTTCTTTGGTTTTTACTTCAATTTTACTTCACTGCAACTTTAAATTCTAGACAGTGACTTTGACGTGATTTCCATTACAGCCTACTGATGTACATCATTTACCACTCTAGCATGTGTGTAACATGTCTTTCAAGTATAGCGCTGTGCACATACATGTAAATGCGTCCTACAGCTGACATTTCAGCCATATCATTAGCATTAAACATTAGAAGGCCCTGGGTGTTTATGAGCAAAACGTGCAGAGTACACCATATGAATCAGGATGCCTGAACAAGTTACCATCATTCTACTACACAGCTTCACACATTAGCTGATGCCACAATCGATCACAAGCATCCATTTTGTAATTAATTTTCGAAAAAATACTGTATATTCCACAACATTTTTTAAATTTGACTGCCAATTCCATGTTTAAAGCTATAGGTAATCTGTTTATATAATTTTTAAAAGGGTAAATCAAGTTTTTTTAAATTTATCCAGCACTCGGCTTCAAGCCACATAAACATTCTTTTCTTCAAAAGATCAACAATTTTTGAGAGCTTGATTAAAGTATCATTTGATTGATGTATGATATTATCTTTAAAAGAATATGTTATTTAACCATATGGATGTGACAGATCTAATTTATCTTAACTAAAATTTTTGAAT